GAAGCAGGAATCTGTCTCCCCTCCTAGACAGCAGCAGCTGGCAGGATCTGTCTGATGTGGCTATTTAGGAGCTCTGGAGCCTGTTGAAGGCCTGTAACGCCTAGGGGAAGACTTGGACAAGAAAACTTGCTGTTAATTTCCACCAATGTCAGCTCTTTGCACAGAAGGAGCTACCATCCCTCATCCTCAGCCACATGGAAGGCAGATGTACACATGTTCATGGAGCATGTGGGCACCATGGTGGGCAAAAGGAAACTGTGCTCCAAATATATGGGCCCTAGGCGCAGATTCCTGCTAGTAACCAGTGTCCAAAGAGGCAGGTGGCATTGTTGTTGCACTTACCCCTTTGTTGCAAGCATCTCCACCCTCCAGCTGAAATGACTTCCCAGGTATTTAAAGGGCCAGCACCCAATTCACCCTCCATTTTTTTTTTTTTTTTTTTTTTACCTTTTCCCTTTTGGCAGCCAGACATTAGAGACTAGTACAATTGAAACAAAAACAAACAAACAAAAGTGTGCAATGGGGCAAATTAGAAAATGACCATCCATACCCAAGGAAAGGCTGAGAGATGGATGACCTGGGAAGACATTAGGTTTACACCCCAGGCTGATCCTGGCACAGAGACAATAATCCTACAGCAACCAAAAAACAAAACAACAAAAAACAGCAAACGCTGGGGAAGCGGGAGAATCTGATTTCCAGAGTTATCTTGTTACTAGATTCAAATATCCAAGTGTTCAACAAAAAGTCACAAGGCATACAAAGAAATAGGAAAGTATGGTCCATTCAAAGGGAAAAAATAAACAGAAACAGTCCTAATGGCAGATATACTAGATGAACTTTAAAACAACTGCCTTAACGTCGTTCAGGGAACTTAAGGAAGATGTGGAAGAGACCAAGAAAACTATGTGTGAACATAGTTGGACATGTAAATAGATAGAAACACAACGGACATGTAAATAAAGAGATAGAAAACTTAAAAAGAAAGAAAGAAACAAACAAAATTCTGGAGCTGAAAAAAGTATAACAATCAAAGTGAAACATGCACTAGAGGGATTCAAAGGCAGAATTGAGCAGACAGAAGAAAGAGTCTGCAAACTTGAAGATCAGACCATAGAAATTATTGAGGCAGAGAACAGAAAGAAGAAACTTAGAGGAAAAACAAACAGAGCCTAAGGGAGCTACTGGACATCATAAAATAGATCAACCTACACATCATGGGGGGCCTGGAAGACAAGAGGCCAGGGGGAGAGAGAAAGGGCCAGAGAGAATATTTGAAGAAATAATAGTTGAAAACTTAACAAAGCAAAAACTAATAGTATTGAAGGGAGAAACAGATCTACAAATAACAGTTGAAGATTTATTGAAGATCCCACTCACAATAATGGATAGAACAACCAGACAGAAGATAAATAAGGAACTAGAGGGCTTCATAGAATAAACCGTCACATTCTTGGCACACATTCTTGCCAAGGGCACATGGGACATTTTCCAGGATAGACCACAGATTAAGTCCCAGTAGATTTAAATAGATGGCATACAAAAGATCTTCATGGGCCACAAAGGGATGAAATTAGGAATCATTAACAAAAGGAGAACTGAAGGGGTGCCTGGGTGGCTCAGTTGGTTAAGCATCTGACTGTTGATCTCAGCTCAGGTCTCCATCTCAGGGCCATGAGTTCAAGGCCCACATTGGGCTTCACGCTGGGTATGGAGCCTACAAAAAAAAAAAAAAAAAAAAAAAGGAGGGGCGCCTGGGTGGCTCAGTCAGTTGAGTGACTGACTTCGGCTCAGGTCATGATCTCGTGGTTTGTGAGCTGGAGCCCCGCGTCGGGCTCTGTGCTGACAGCTCAGAGCCTGGAGCCTGGTTCTGATTCTGTGTCTCCCTCGCTCTCTACCCCTCCCCCACTCATGTTCTGTCTCTCTCTGTCTCAGAAATAAACATTAAAAAAAAAAAAGGAAAACTGGAAAATTCACAAAACTGTGGAAATTAAACAACACCCTTTTAAACAACGAATGGGTCAAAGAAGAAATCACCAGGGAAATTAGAAAATACTCACAGACAAATGAAAATGGAAACACAACATACCAAAACTTATGGGACACAGTAAAAACAGTGCTAAGGGGAAAATTTAAATGTTTACATTAAAAAAACATGACAGATCCCAAATCAACAACCTAACTTTACAACTTAAGGAACTAGAAGAGGAAGAACAAACCCTAAAGCTAGCAGAAGGAAGGAAGTACTAAATGTTAGAGCACTGATAAATGAAATAGAGAACAAGAAAACAGTACAGAAAACCAGTAAAACCAAAGGTTGGCTCTTTGAAAGATCAACAAAATTGATAAACCTTTAGCTAGATGGACTGGAGACAGGGGGGTGGGGAGAGAAGACTCAAATTACTAAAATCAGAAAGGAGGGGCGCCTGGGTGGCGCAGTCGGTTAAGCGTCCGACTTCAGCCAGGTCACGATCTCGCGGTCCGTGAGTTCGAGCCCCACGTCGGGCTCTGGGCTGATGGCTCAGAGCCTGGAGCCTGTTTCTGATTCTGTGTTTCCCTCTCTCTCTGCCCCTCCCCGTTCATGCTCTGTCTCTCTCTGTCCCAAAAATAAATAAACGTTGAAAAAAAATTAAAAAAAAAATAAAATCAGAAAGGAAAGAATGTTACTACATATGTTACAGAAATAAAAAAGGGTTATAAGAGAGAACTATGAGCAATTGTGTGCCCCTGAAATTGGATTACCTAGAGGAAATGTTCCTAGAAATAGAGAAAAAAACCTTTTTTCAGTACTCGTTTAAGTGGTCAGGAAGACTTTATTCAAGACTGTTGCAGTAGGGGAGAATAATCAGGCTCCACTCTGAGGGTGGCAATAATATCTGGGGATTTACAGCCAACCAGCAAAGTTGGGGACGGGGGTGTGGGTTTCAGTGGATGGAAAATTACCAAGAGGAGGCATCAAGGGTAGGGGCATTCTTGCTAAATGAATTCAGAATTCTTGTTGAAGGCAAGTCAAGATGATCAGATATCAAGGGTGGGGAATAAGGAACCTGATCAGATACAGAGAATAACCAGATAAAGGGTGAGGGTATTCTCACTAAACTAACTTAGTGGGATTCTTGCTAAGACTGAGTTAGGCAGACCAAAGATAGGCCTGGGGCCAAGGTTGAGGTCCACTTGAGAAAAAAGACCCAGAAGAAAGCTCTGGCTAAAGTTTGGTCAGATGCAGTCTCTGTCAGTGTCAAAGAATAAATAATACAGACAAGACGTGAGGGACTGGGGTCCTTAAGGGAAGAACTGACCTTTACTTCTGCTTTTTCCCTGAGAACATTTTCTGATCCCTCGCTTGTTTCTCAATCAGTAACAACTCAGTTGACATAGTATGAAACTGCCGAAGGAGTTGGGGCAAAGTCCTGGAAAGAAGGGAACTACCGAGAAGTGAAACCCCCAAATCTTCCTACAAGTTCACTTCATGCTCTTGGATAGCTTCTTCTTCTTCTTTTTTTTTAATGTTTATTTATTTTTGTGAGAGAGGGAAAGAGAGATGGATAGAGGGTCTGAAGCAGGGCTCTGCACTGACAGCAGAGAGCCTGATGCGGGGCTGGGACTCACAAACCATGAGATCATGATCTGAGCCCAAGTCAGATGCTTAACCGACTGAGCCGCCCAGGTGTCCCACCTTGAATAGCTTCTAAGTGGCACATGTACAAAGAGAAACAATAGCAGTGGGAGGCTAAGAGCTAACTAGAGACGTCACCCCAGCTGCACAATGCCGGGGAGACCAAGCTTGTAGTTCACGCCCACCAAGGTGGAGGAGCCCTCGTACAGTAAACACGAGGGACTTTTGGTTGAGATCCCAAAGGGATGTGCCCTAGAAGTAAGGGTTACAAACCAGTAGTAAGAGAAAAATTAATTGGCTAAAACCAATCTTTGAGAGATTTAAGGTGCTCTATATAAGCCACCACAAGGACACTAAATCATATTAATCAAGATATACCATCCAGAGACTCAACATTTTTTTCTTCTACAATGTTGTCAGGAAAACTTAAAATCATGAGGCATGCTAAAAAGGAGAGAGAGACCGAGAAGGACAGAGAATAGACAACAGAACAGATCTATGGATGATTCTGTTACTGGATTTATCAGACAAGGACTTTAAAATACCTACGATTCATATGATGAGGAAAATAAAAGAAAGATGGAGAATTTCACCAGAGAATTAGAATCCATGAAAAGGGGTCAAATGGAGGCTCTCGATCTGGAAAAATGCTATGACAAATGAATACCTAAATAATATGTGTTTAATAGCAAATTAGACGGAGCAGAGTAGATGATTAGGACAACTAGGACACAAGTCAGTAGGCATCCAAACTGTAACACAGTTAGGAAAAAGGACAGAAAATATGGAAAAGAATAGATGTCTGTTAATCACACAAGAAAGGACTAACAGATGTATAAGCTAGTACTAGAAGGGGAACAGAGAATGAGGTGGAACAGTATTTGAGTAAACCCCAGCTGGATATTTCCCAGAGCAAGTGTCTTGAGAAAACCGGGTAAAGCTGCATAACTTTTGGGGGCATCGCCTAGAAGTCATGCAAGGTCATATTCACTGCGTTTCATTAGTTATAAATAAGTCACTAAGGCCTGTCTGGATTTGAGGGGAGGACGATACCCTACCTCTTAATAGAGGAGTATCAAAGAATTGGTAGACATGTTTTAAAACCTCACACTACTAAAGCTCCAGCCATTAAACTCCTGGGTTATATATCCAACAAAACCCGAGGCTTATGCCCACCAAAAGAAAGTATGTGAATGTGCATAGCAGCTTTACTCATGATAAATGGCCAAATGGGGGCACCTGGGTGGCTCGGTCGCTTAAACATTGGACTCTTGATTTTGGCTCAGGTCATGGTTATGAGCTGGAGCCCTGACAGTGAAGAGCCTGCATGGGATTCTCTCTCTCTGCCCCTCCCCTGCCTGTGCTTTTCTCTCTCTCTCTCAAAATAAGTAAACAAAAAACTTTAAAAATATACAGTATATATAAAATAATAAAAAAATAAATGGCCAAATGATTACCAATAGTAGAAGAGATAAATGGTGGTATATTCGTATAATGGATGAAAAAGAATAAACCCCACTCCTGAAACAACCTGAATTAATTTCATAAACCTATTGAGCTAAAGAAGCTCAATACATAAAACATAAAAACACATCACATTTCCATTTATATGAAGCTTCACAATAGGCAAAAGTCATATGTGTTGCTAGAGGTCAAAGGAGCAATTACCTTTTGCTGGTTGGGGTGGTTGACTGGAAGGGTGCCTGAGGGAAACTTCTGGGCTAACAGAAATTTTCTTTATCTAGAGGTGGTGATAGTTACATGGGTGTTGCTCATGGATAGTTACACAGTAATATACAGTGTAAGAAACCAGCCCCAAACCCAGCGGCTTGAACGATTACTTGTTTTTCTCATGAATCTGGAACGTGGGCAGGACTTGGCAGGAAATGGTCGTGTCTGCTCCTCCCAGAATCATCTGGGGTGTCTTGACTAGGACTAGAGGATCTCTTTCCAAGAAGGGCTCACTCACGTGGCTGGCAAGTTGATGCTGGCTGTTGGCTGGGAGCTCGTTGGACTTGAGGGCCCAGAACCTTGTTTTCTTTCCACGTGAGCCTCCCCATGTGATTAGGCTTCCTCGCAGCATGGTGGCTCCAAGGGCACATGGTGGCCTGAGAGAGAGAGAGAGGGAGAGAGAGAAAATCGCAAGCAGACTCCGCGCTGTCAGCACAGAACCCAACGTGGGGCTCAATCTAACTGTGAGACCATGACCTGAGCTGAAATCAAGTCAGATGCTTCATTGACTGAGCCACCAAGGAGCCCCTGTTGCCATCTATTTTTAATCTTGTTTCCTCCACTTCCCATATACTTCTAGGGATGGGTCCCAGAGGATCCAATTTCTATTGTAACAGCCCCATGTTGCGTATAGAGATTACTTAAAAATAAAATCTTAAAAAAGAAAAAGAGTCCGGCCCTGTACTCTTGTGTCGTGATGCTGGGTAGGTTGGCACAATAGGGCAGGGGGAGTATTCCTGGAAGCTATTTCTACAGTGGGCATCGAGCAAAATTGACTGGTAACTATATGAGGAAATCCTTCTAAACCTAACTGAATGTATCCCTGACTCAGCTTCTCCTTAATGCCAGAGGCCACTCCAGTGCCCCCCAGTGACATAAGGGGATTGTGATGCAAGATTCATCAGGAACAGCAGTCTTAACCAATTGTGATTGCAATACCTTATTCTCCAAATTTTACAAAAATATAACACTGTGTGAATAGCTTGCTAGAGCTCCTCCCAGGATCTTGGAGGAGGTTTGTGCTACGGAAGGGGTCCTGAAGCTCAAGCTTCATTAGTTTCAGGATTAAATCTGCCTCTGCATAGACTTGATGTGACCTTTAACTGAATTAATATATGGAAAGCATTTGGAACAGCCTGACAAGGAAGTAAGTGCTCACTATATATTATCTATTGCATACTACTGATATAGAAATAAACAGATAAATACAGAAGGCTCCAGAAGCAGGCTCCAGGCTCTGAGCTGTCAGCATAAGTGGACACTTAGCCAACTGAGCTACCCCGGTGCCCCTAAAGCATAATACTCCTAAAAGTAAAAAGATGTGGGGCACCTGGGTGGCTCAGTCGGTTGAGCGTCCTACTTCAGCTCAGGTCATGATCTCGCAGTTTGTGGGTTCATACCCTGCATCTGGTTCTCTGCTGTCAGCATGGAGCCCGCTTCAGAGCCTCTGTCCCCCCTCTCTGTGCTTCTCCCCCACTATCTCTCTCAAAAATAAAGCATTTTTTTAAGTTAAAAAAACCTAAAAAGACAAAGTAGGAAGAATGTATAATTTATGATTTTATGAAAAGGGAAGTATCCTTTACATATAAAGAGCCCTTACGGATCAAGAAGACAAATAACCACCCATCTCCTTTTTTAACGGACAAAGGACATGAACAGGGAATGCATAGAAATAGAATCTTTCTTTTCTTTCTTTCTTTTTTTTTTTGAAGTACAGCCTTTCTAAAGAATAATTTAGAAATGAGTTTCCACAGTTTAAAATCTGTGTGTCTTTTGTGCCAGCAATTCTACCTATGGTAATGTATCCGGAGGAAATAAGAGCTGGGTACAAAATTAAAAAACAACAACAACAAGGATATCAAAACATTATACTTTTTAAAAATGAAAGCAACCTAGACAGATGATTGGCTAGGCAAATTATTGAACAATCAACCATATAATGGGGGCAATAAATGCCTATTGAAGAGTGTTTACTGATATGAGAAGACGTTCTTGGCCCATTATGCTGAGTGGAAAAGCAGGAACAAGGCCTGGAGCATCCCATTTTGTGCTATGGGCTCACGGGACACCATCTTGTTTAAATGCCTATATTATACACATAAAAGACCATGAGTTTATAACCACTGCTATAAATGCAGTATATCCCAGTGTGATGAGATTCTGAGTGATTTCTCCTTATTTTTTTTTTTTTGACAGTAAGGAAGGTTTTTTGTTTTGTTTTGTTTTGTTTTATAAGTAAAAATATTGTGAGATTTGACTGCATATGATTTTTTAGTTAACTAACCGGTAAGCTATCGCAAGGACAGTAGCATGCCCACGGCCATAAGATAGAATTTCTTTCTTTGATCTTCTCTCAACTGTTAGGTATCGCTTCTCATTTGACTAAGTGCAACTTAATTCAGTTCAACACGCACTGCATGCCCCAGGTGCAAGGCACTAGACCTGAGGTTACACGGATGACTAGAACATATTACTTGCCCCAAAGACTCTAATAATTTAGTGGGAGGGGGAACCCTGCTGGGACCTGCTCAACTGGAAATAAAACTTCTTTTTTGGATTAAAAAAAAAAGGCAGCAGCAAAGGCAATTTGCCATGCCCCAGACTAAATTCAGCTTCTTGCTTATGGAGCTCTTTTTCCTTTGCTTGTCACTGTTTTCTGGAATTTAGCCTAGCAAAGTAATATATGTCACCATGTGTGCTGGTCTATAATTAGAACAAATGCGAGGACTTATGAGAAGAAGACCTATTGGCAAAAAGCGTTTAGTAAAGCTCTAGAAAGGCAGGCAAGGGAAAGAAGGAGGAAGAGATCTATTTTGGAAGTTAATTGAATGCCAAAGGAAGAGAAGACATTTAAAAAATATAAAAGGCAATTATATGTCCTTAGGATTTTTATATTCCAGGAGAGCATGAAAATGTAGCTGCTATTGGATTACCCTCTGATGAGCATTGTGGGTATAAATAGAAGCTAAGGTCAAGAAGCTAAAGGCAGAAAAAGACTCACGTGTCCAGCAGGGCCTGATAAGCATGTGAAATAATACCCTCAGCTCATAAGGCTGCACCTGTGCCCGTGACCTGGGCTTGAGCTCCAGGGAAGGAGGGGAGGGTAAAAATCAGAAGGACCCGAGGTTGCCCTTCTCATAAATCTTTTTATTTTGTTTTAGAGAGAGTGTGTGTGAGCAGGGGAGGGGAAGGGAGGGAGAGAAAAAGAGAGAGAGAGAGAGAGAGAGAGAGAGAGAGAGAGAGAATCCCAAGCAGGCTCCCCACCCAACATGGACCGCGACGTGGGGCTCAGTCTCACAACCGTGAGATCATGACCAGAGCCAAAATCAAGAATCGAAGGCTTCACCGACTGAGCCACAGGCGCCCCAGCCCTTCGCATAAATGTTAAACCAGTCCCAGCCGTCACCAAACCTCACTGTAGCATGAACACACAGTGGAGAATCAGTTCTAAGATGACAGTAATCTTCTCCCCACGCTTTACCTTTTTCTAGTCGAGCATCAACACGTGTCTGAAACGTGTGGTTGGCCTGAGCCCCAAACACCTACCCCAGGCTGCCCTCCCTTTTCAGGATCCATGGTTCCTGAGGGGACTCAGCTTCCCCAAGAAGACTTTCCTGGCGTGCCCCCAGGAATGAAGAGGCAGACAGACAGAGGGTCACCCCTAGGCGGGAGCTGCTGGCTTCTCTACCACCTTTCACACCCTGGCCCCTCACCACGCTGACCTCCCCCCTCCCAGGTTTCCCACGTCCCGTTTCCCCCCACGGACAGAACAGGGACGTTCAGCTTTCGCCCTTCCCCACTGTCCTGTCAGCTTTCGTGGATTGACTGTCTCTTCTGGACATCTGACCCCCATCCCTACATGTCCGGCCTTTCTTCAAGAAGAGGAGAGACAGGAGTCTGGTCTCCGAGTCTTTCTTCTGGATTTCAACGAGAATTGAACGACTACTACACATTTTTAGTCTGGGACCCACCTGGGAGAGAGGAGACTTGTCTACCCATCCCCGACAGGTGCCTGGCACCAAGGTACTGGACTCATGGGTGAGAACAGGAGAGAGTGCCTGCCCTTTACCTTTTGGATCTATCCTACCTCGTAGGTCCCCTCAGGCAGTAACACTCCTTTGATCCAGCTTCCTGGGTGATGACCAGGGAAAAGTGAGGTTGTAACTTCAAAGGGCCTTGGTTTCTTTTTTTTTTTTATTTTTTTTTTCAACGTTTATTTATTTTTGCGACAGAGAGAGACAGAGCATGAACGGGGGAGGGACGGAGAGAGAGGGAGGCACAGAATCGGAAACAGGCTCCAGGCTCTGAGCCATCAGCCCAGAGCCTGACGCGGGGCTCGAACTCACGGACCGCGAGATCGTGACCTGGCTGAAGCCGGACGCTTAACCGACTGCGCCACCCAGGCGCCCCAGCTTTTTTTTTTTTTTTTTTAAACACTGGCCTATTGTTCTTAGATACGTGTCGTCTTTTACCTCTTTTACACATGTGGACCTCACAGGACACAAAATACTTTCCAGATCTAAATGTGAAAGGCCCCCCCAAAAAATCTGAGAGCAAAAAAACATACAAGAGCATACTGGAACAGACAAAAATGTCACGAAAAGGAAATAAAAAGCATTTCACCCGCCAAAGAAAAATTAGTAAATTGGATTATATTAAAATTATGAACTTCTGGGGGGTGCCTAGGTGGCTCAAATCGGTTAAGTGTCCGACTTCGGCTCAGGTCATGATCTCGCAGTCAGTGGGTTCGAGCCCCACGTCGGGCTCTGCGCTGACAGCTTGGAGCCTGAAGCCTGCTTTGGATTCTGTGTGTGTGTCTCTCTCTCTGCCCCTGCCCCTCTCATGCTCTGTCTCTCTCTGTCTCAGAAATAAATAAACATTTTAAAAAAATCTAAAAAAATAAATAAACATGAAAAAATAAAGAAAATGAAATTAAGAACCTCTGTTTATCAAAAGATGCCAAGAAAGAATGAAAGGGGGAGCCAAGGTTTAGGAAAAGATATTTGCAGTACGTACATCTGACAAAGGACTAGCATCCTAAGCGTGTACGTGGATAAGAGAAAGGAAGCTAACTGCATAGAAAGTGGGCAAGAGGTTTGGATGGGTACTTCATTGATGAGGTTATGTAAAAGGCCAAAAACACACGAAAAGCTTTTCCACATCACCATGATCACGGAAATGTAAACTAAAACTACAGTAAGATACCACGACACCAGGACCACAATGGCTACCAATTAAGTGACTGATGACAAGTGTTGACAATCAGAATGCTCCTACTGTCCTGATGGGAATTGCAATCAGTTTGGATTTTTTAAATGTTTATTTATTTCTGAGAGAGAGAGAGAGAGAGAGAGAGACAAAGTGAGAGCAGAGGAGGGGCAGAGAGAGAGGGAGACACAGAATCCGAAGCAGGATCCAGGCCCCAAGCTGTCAGCACAGAGCCCGACGCGGGGCTCGAACTCACAAGCCACGACATCATGTCTTGAGCCATAGTCCGACACTCAACTGACTGAGTCAGCCAGGCACCCCTAGATGCAACCATTTAAGTGAAACAATCTGGCATTATTTCCCAAAGATGAAAAGACCTATAATCTACGACCTAGACATTCGACTCCTAGGGATAACCTCGACAGAAATATGTACACACACGTTCACTAAAAGCCATGCCCGAGAATTTTCACAGGAGTGCTTTTTGTAGTAAATAAAAATATAGGCTATGCAAGTGTTCCTCGTCAGTAGAACAGAGATATAAATCGTGGCACGTTCACACGATGAAAATCTACACCAAATGAATCAATACATGTAATGGTATGGATGAATTGCACAAACATAACACTGAGTAAAAGGAGCCAGACCCCAAAGAGAATGTGATGTATAATCCTACATATGTAAAGAGCAGAACCAAAAAAAAAAAAAAATCTTTGGTGTGAGAAGCCAAGTGATGGAAATGGCATGAGGTGGGCTTCTGGTGCTGTTGGTGTTCCATTTCCAGACCTGGGCGTTACTAAAGGGGTGTAGACTCACTTTTGAAAATTCACTGAACTGTATACCCTTAAGATTTGTGCAGGTTTCAGTGAAGACTAGACCTCAGCAGAGTTTTCCAAAACACGTTGGAGATTTTTTCTCCAAATTCTTGTATTTCTTGGGGATTTCTTTAGTCAAGAAGTTTTCCTTAGGCTCTTGCTTTTACCGTCATTTTCGTTAGACTGGTTTTTGCTTGCCTGAGTACTGGTGACAATGCTCTGAACTCAACAAATGGTTGTGTTTTATTTCCCTCTTACATAACGTTCCCTCGTAGCTTTCTCTTTCTCACATGGGAGGCTTATCTTCCCAGAGCAGGGAAGGGTGAATGTTTGGCCTCTTTATCAAGGTGAATGGTTTAAAATTCCCTGAGCCCCCTGAGGGGCTCAGTCATTTGAGCATCCGACTTCAGCTCAGGTCATGATCTCAAGGTTCGTGGGTTCGAGCCCCGCGTCTGGCTCTGTGCTGACAGCTCGGAGCCTGGAGCCTGCTTCAGATTCTGTGTCTCCCTCTCTCTGTGTCTCTCCCTTGCCTGAGCTCTCTCTCTCTCTCTCAACAATAAACATTAAAAAAAAAAAAAAAAAAAAAAAAGAAAATTAGGGTGGCTAGGGAGATGTATAGTTTCCTCCTGAACTTCTTTTAGTTCCCAGGAATGCAGGGTCAAGAGCCAGCAGCCCCGCCACGGATCTACTGGGTGGGGGAAAGGTGACCCCACCACCTGGACCTCCTGGTTAGGGGCCAGATGGACAATGTGGTAGCGATTCAGTGGAGCCCATAGGTCAGTAAAAGCCAAGGTGAGGTGGGGCCAGCTGGACAGCAATGCCCAGGCTCCAACCAAGAAACAACAGAACTGGACTACGGGTCACAGTGACCTCAGGGGTCAGCTGTGGACACCGGAAGCCAGGGCCCAGGCCAGCTGCCCTGCAGTGGTCACCAGCCCACACATACCGAAGGGCCGGCACGAGGCAGCAACAGCTCGAGGTCAGATGTGGCCCCTTCCCTGCACCCAAATGCTACGGTAGAGATAAGCTGCAGAGGGGAGTGGCTGAGTCATTTTGTCTCTGAGGCGGCCTGATGGAGAGACAGATCGGTCACATTCCCGGCTTGGACTAATTGTACTGGAACAGACTGGAATGCGTTTGTTTCCACATCACCTGACCAGTGGGACCTGGTAGGACCAGATCACTTAAAAATAAATAGAGGAGCTATATTTCTTCAGCACTTCTGACAGTAACGTCACTAAATTTGCAGCTTTCTCTTTTAGTTTTCTTTGATTTTTCTTCTCAACGTGTTAAACCTTCATGGCTGCTGAAAATAGCTCGTGTTCGGAATTTTTCTAGGTATTTGAATAGAAGGTGGGAAGAAATCTCCTGGCATGGCAACTCCCCCGCAATCATCCTTTTATTGATTAGTAAAGCGATTTAATAGTTTCTCTCACTTTTCCAAGTGACTCGTGATCCACCCTCTATGTAACCCTCCCAAATAATAAGCCCCTGCCAGATTTTGAGCTAAGAGATGATCGGCAGTCCTCGCCATCAAGTTTAAGTGCAGAAGATGTGCAAACGGCAGACACTGTTCCACGGTCACCTTTCCAGGTGCCCACGTGGGCTCGTTTCCACTTTTGGCGTCTTGGCATTTACACAGGCAGGCATCGTTCAAAGCCCTGGGCTCCTGGACCGTAGGACACGATGACAGTAGTCTTTGAGAGTGTCCTTGTTTTGTAGGATGTCATGATATACATCCGCTGCCCCAGACCTGGAATCAGCCATTTCTCTGAGGAACCTCAGTTCCCTTTACTGAGAAATATATTTAGAAACCAGAATCTGGCCTCAAAGGAAACAGCTCACTTCTTCAGGGCTGGTTGCTATTTCTAGTTCCCTTCCGTGGACAGAGATGAGAGAAAGAACACCAGGAGAGGAGCAGATCTTGGAAGGTAAAAGAAAAACTAATTTTTTCTCAGTTAGTTTCCCCTTATCAATCATTGAGTATTTTTTATCATACTGAGAAATACATCTAGGTACTTTCATTTGTAGTTTTTTTCCCCCCTTTGAATTCATTTGCTTGGGATAATGTATTTCTGTAGGTTTATTCGGACAAAGGGCAGGAGTTCTCAGGTGCCTTAATTCTCTCTTCAGAGGCTAGTCCTCTTTGCAGGACCAGCTGCACGACTTGTGGCCCCTGTAAGATGAAAATTCAGGCCCTGGTCCAAAAAGCAGGAAAGAAGGACCATGAAGGTACTCAACTTGAAAACTTTAAAAAAATGTTTCCGCCGTCTCTGCCTCTTATCCCCCCTCCACTTGTGCTGGTGGTGTTTTATTTGCTATTTGATGTCAGGTTCCCCTAGGCACAGGGATACTGGCAGGCTGAGTGCCCACCTCACAGGTGCCCACCGGGCTGTCCCCTGGCACCACATGAGGACCATGCCAGCTGCTGACTTCCTCCCTCCAGCCAGCCACCTGAATGATGCCAGGGATGTTCGCCTCCTGTAGACCTGCTGCCCCAGCCCACGGGGATGGGCACCCGAGGGCTCTGCAATCTTCGTGCCAGGACTTGGCAGGTGTCTAGATCTGGGGATGGGTGAGGGATTCACCCTGTGAATTGTCCACTGGACTCCTGGGTCAGCTTCTGCCAGGCCTTCCCCTGAGTGCCCACGGGGTGTATGTGCCCGACTGGGATCCTTCCCGTGCTAAGCCAAGGCCCCCACCAGGGACGAAGGGGACAGTGGTTTCCGGGCAGGAGCAGGGAGGGGAGGCCATGTGAGGCCCAGGGCACCAGGGGATGAGGAACAGGTGACTTGAGTTGGTCCCAGGGAGACAGGGAGGCAGGAGAAGCGGGGACAGTTCATGGGACAGTGCTCTGAGCCTCGGTGCATGCCCCATTGTCCCATCGAACTTCATCTACAGAACACAAATTCAAAGATAAAATTCTTTGGGATTTAAAGACGGCAACTGCGGAGCATAAAACCCCAAACTCAGGGCTCTTGCAAGCACATGGTCCCGTGTGATTGCACTGGTCCTACGCCCATGAAGTTGTCCCTTCCTATACAGTAAACAGCAGCAGGTTTTAAAATATGATCAGGGCCCCTGGGGTTCTTGGACAGCCTTCCAGGGGTTCTGTGAGATCACAACTATTGTCATAGTAACACAAAGACATAACACTTTCACACTCATTGTCTCAGGAGCACATGTTGAGGTTCTCCTAAAGCTGCCTGACAGTGGGGTATATTTTAACAGGTTGAATGGAGAAGAAAGAATCCAGATGTCTTTCATGAAGCCAGTCATTCAAGAGGTTTTTAAAAACGTAAAGCAATACTACTCTTTTCACTAATCTCTGCAGTGGAAAAAACAGTTATTTTTTCATAAAAAGTATTTTGCTCTTATTTGGAGATTTTACATATTTATTTCTATGTGTTTGTTTTTGTTGTTATTTTAAAATGAATGACCAAAGAGATTTTACATTTCCCTGTTTTGATTCCTAACACAACAAAATGGGTAGATATTACCCATTTAAACAAAAGCCCGTGCACATCCTTAGAACTTTTTTTAAAAAGTTTATTTATTTATTTTGAGTGAGACAGGAAGCATCCACAAGTGGAGCAGGGGCAGAAAGAGAGAGAGAGAGAGAGAGAGAGAGAGAATCCCAAGCAGGCTCCACACGGCCAGCACAGAGCCCAAAGCAGGGCTTAAACCCACGAACCATGAGATCATGGCCTGAGACAAAACCACAAGTTGGATGCTTAACCGATTGAGCCACCCAGGCGCTCCTTATCCTTGGTACTTTTTAAGGTGAATACATTTCAAAAATTGAGGTTAAATTCACATAGCATAAAATGAACCATTCTAAAATGCATAATTTGGGGGCACCTGGCTGGCTCCGTTGGCGAAGCATGCAACTCTTAATCTCAGGGTCTTGAGGTCAAGCGCCTTGTTGGGCACGGAGCCTGGTTAAAAAGCAAAGCAATGAAGTGCACAATCCTGTGGCGTTTAGCACAGTCACTGTGTTGTGTGACGACCTCTCTCTGTAGTTTCGACATTTTCATCACCGCAAATGGAAACTCCACCCCCACTAAGCAGTCACTCCCCATTCCTCCCTCCCCTGAGCCCCAATGAACCCACCGTCGTCCTTCTGTCCCCATGGATCTGCCTATGTTGGATGTTCCGTCAAGGGAATCACCCAACCCATGACTCTTCTCTCACTGAGCCCAATGTTTTTGAGGTTCATCCACACGGTAGCATGTATCACTATTTCATTTCTGTGTATACTCCATTGTAGGGTATGCCATACTGGTTTACCCATTCATCAGACCATGGATATTTGGGCTGTTCCCACCCGTTAGCTACTGTGAATAGCGCTGCCGTGAACATTCGTGTACAAGCGTTTGTGAGGAAATGTGCTTTCAGTTCTTTGGAGTATGATACCTAGAAGTGAATCATTGGATCATACGATAATTCTACATTACATTTCTTGAGGAACCGACAAACTGTTTCCCAGAGCAGCTGCCTCACCTTACTTTCCCACCAGTGACGTAGGAGGGCCCAATTTCTCCATATCCTCCACACTTGTTTTTTTCCTTTAAAAAAAAAAATTTTTTTTTTATTGTAGCCATCCTAGTGGGTGTGAAGTGGCAGCTCACTTGTGGTTTTGATTTGCATTTCCCTAATGATTAGTGATGAGCATCGTTTCATGCGCTTACTGGCCATTTGTACACCTTCTTTGCAGAAAGGTTTGTTCAAATCCTTCGCTCATTTTTAAATTGGGTTGCCTTGTTTTGTTGTAGAATTGGATTGTCTTTTGTAGGGTTGTGACAGTTTTGTAGATTTTAGATATTAAACCTTTATCAGATATACGATTTACAAATATTTTCTCCAATCTTGTAGGTTGTCTTCCTACTTTCTTGGTAGTGTTTTTTGATGCACAAAAGTTTTTCATTTTGACTAAGTCCATTTGTTTGGTTTTTCCTTTGTCACTTGTGTTTTTGGTGCCATTTCCGTATCATGCCAAATCCAAACTTATGAAGATTTACCCCTATGTTTTCTTCTAAGAGTTTTGTGGTTTTAGCTTTCACATTTAGGTCTATGATCCACTTGGAGTGACTTTTTTGTTGTTGTTGATGCTTATTTGTTTTTGAGAGAGAGACACAGCACAAGTGGGGGAGACACAGGGAGAGAGGGAGACACAGAATCTGAAGCAGGCTCCAGCCTCTAGTTGTCAGCACAGAGCCCAATGAGGGGCTTGAACCCATAACCTTGAGATCATGATCTGAGCCGAAGTCAGACGCTTAACTGACTGAGCCCACCCAGGTGCCCCAGAGTTACTTTTTGTACATTGTATGAGGCGGAGGTCTAACTTCATTCTTTTGCATGTGGATATCCAGTTGTCCCAGCATCCTTTATTAAAGAAACAATTCTTTTCTCCATTGACTGGTCTTGGCACTTTTGTTGAAAGTCAATTGACCGAAGATTTATGAACTTATTTCTGAACTCTCAATACTATTCCAGTGGTCTAGTCTATATACCTGTGCTTATCCCAGTACCATAGTGCCTTGGTTCCTGTAGCTTTGTAGTAAGCTTTGAAATTGGGAAATGTGAGTCCTCCAGCTTAGTTTTTCCTTTTCAATTATTTTGGCTATCCAGGGCCCCTTGTAATTCCTTATCAATTTTACCATCACCTTGTCAATTTCTGCAAAAAAAGATCATTGTAATTTTCTTAGAGACTTCATTGAATCTGTGGATTATTGCCATCTTAACAGCATTAAGTCTTGAAATCCATGAACACAGAATACCTTGCCATGTATTTAGGTCTTTATTTTCTTTCAGCAATGTTTTGTGGTTTTCAGTGCACAAGTCATATACCAACATAGCTAAATTTATTCCTAAGTATTTTATTCTTTCTGATGCTATTATAACTGGAATTTTTTTAAATTTTATTTTCCTAATGTTCATCACTAGTATATAGAAATACAACTGATTTCTGAGTCTTGATCTTGTGTCTGCCGACTTTGCTGAATTCATTAACTCGCTCTAACAGTTGTCTGTGTGTGTGTGTGTGTCTTCTTTGGGATATTCTACATATGATGTTATCAGCAAAGGTACTTTTTCTTCCTCCTTTCCAATTTGGATGCCTTTATTTCTTTTTGCTGCATTATTGCTCTGGCTAGGACTTCCTGTCCAGTGTTGTTGACTAGCAGCGGTGAAAGTAGGCATCCCTGTCTCGTTCCTGATCTTACGGGCAGTGTACTTAGTCTTTTATTATTGGGTATATTAGCTTTGTGTTCGTTGAGTGTTTTTATCATGAAAGGCTCAACAATCTTTAAGAATGTAGTGGGGTCCTGCTGGGATAGAGTATTCATTAAGAACAAGGGAGTTGAGATCCATCTGCTTGGTTTGAACCACGGCTCGGTCACTTCCTCACTTCATGACCTTGGACAATTTGTTTAACCATTCTGTGCCCCAGTTTCCTTACTTGGAAAATGGAGATGACAACAGGGACATAATCTACCTCGGAGAGTTAGGCGAAGGTTAGATGGAGGAATACACATTAAAGCAGTGCCTGATGTGGAGTCAGCACTCAGTAAATGTTAGCAATTATTCAAAGAAATGAACCAATTGAAATGTTCACTGGCAATTTCTGTATTACTGTTTACCTCAAGTCTATCCCCCACGGATTTGACAATTTGACTTTTGGTTTTGCTTATTTAATAGATGGTAGGTAGCTCATTTTTCAAATGGTATTTACATTCCCGTAATTACTGTGGAGGCTAAACAGCTTTCAAATTTTTGCCACAGTTGTGACTTCTTTCCCTTTTTAATCTGTTTTGACTGTCCTGTTGTACCCTCCTCGTTGGCTGTCTCATATACTATTTTGATGCAATCAAGAACAAGATACGTAGCCAAAATTAGTCCAGTTTATGCCCCATTATCAAAGCTGTTGTCATGTTCATAAAAATAGTATTAGGGCTCCGAAGACATTCAGGAGCTGGAATTATCTGCCCCACTTGTTCTGAGGATTTGAAAGAAGCCAAGGAGACTGAGCAGTTGCTGAGACTGCCACGGCGATCTAAATGTGACCTTCCACAAAAAAGCATGTGAGGGCCAGAAATGAAATTCAAAACAGCAGGCTGGGTTTCAGAGTCCACATCGCTAGAACACACTGCCCCTCTGGTTCCAGGGAGGTAAATATAGAGCAGGCTGATTATGTGAACACATTTCCTTTAACTTTGCCCGTCGCTACTCAAGTCCAGCGACGAGATGAAGCCCGTTACGAGTAGGTTGCCTGTTATCCCTGCATCGGCCTCAGAAGCTGCCCTCCTTTACAGGGCTGATTTCTCCGCCTTTGCTCTCCAGTTCATTCCCTTACTACCCGGCTGTCCTCTTTCTCTCTTTCCTTTCTGGTGACTTGAATGTCTCCATTTCTACGGGCTCCATTTCTTCCTGGTAACCACAAATACATAAGTATGCCCCCTAACAGAAAAAAAAATGTCCTCAGCCCTGTGTCAGCCTGGAAGTGTCCCCCCTTCTTCCTCCTTTCTATCACAGAATCTTCACTTCTTTATCTCCGGCCACTCCCTAAGCAACAGTGTGGCTTTGGCCAGTGCTCCACTGAGCACCTCGAGGCTGTTGACTGGTCATCTCCTCACCGCCAAGTCTGGTGAGTCCTTCCTGTCGTTTCATATGACCTTGTGGACGTGACAGGTGACCACCCCCTTTGCCTGCGTTTTGTGATGCACTTGCGTGATTTTTTTTTCACACCTTTCCTTTCCAGTTTCTTGCATGATGAGCTCCTCGTCTGTCCTCAGCCGTAAGCGTTGGTTCTACTCAGGGCTTCATCCTTGGTGCTCCCTTCTTTTCTCCCCTCCAAACACACTGTCTGCATGGCCTCATCCGGTCCCATGATTTCTGGGAGCCACCGTGCTGGTGATCCCCCTGTCTCTGTCTTCATCCCTGATCGTTCTTCTTAGGGTAACATTTGTTTCGGATATTCAAACGTCTACTAGAAATTGCCTCCTGGACTCCCCCAAGCACATTGAACTGAGCTAAGGACATCTTCCCTGGAACCTCCTTCAAGACCTTATAAGATAAATTGCTGCTACTATCAACAATAGCCAAAGTATGGAAAGAGCCCAAATGTCCATCGATGGATGGATGGATGGATGGATGGATGGATGCATAAAGAAGATATGGTGTGTGTGTTGTGTATATATATATATATATATATATATATATATATATATAATGGAGTATTATGAGGCAATCAAAAAATGAAATCTTGCCATTTGCAACTACATGGATGGAACTGGAGGGTATAATGCTAAGCAAAATTAGTCAGAGGAAGACAAAAATGATATGACTTCACTCATATGAGGACTTTACGAGACAAAACAGATGAACATAAGGGAAGGAAAAAAATAATATGAGAACAGGGAGGGGGACAAAACAGAAGAGACTCATAAATCTAGAGAACAAACTGAGGGTTACTGGAGGGGTTGTGGGGGGGGGTGGGCTAAATGGGGAAGGGGCACTAAGGAATTTACTCCTGAAATCACTGTTGCCCTACAGGCTATCTAATTTGGATGTAAATCTAAAAAAATAAAATTAAAAAAAATAAATAAATAAATTGCCGCTACCTGGCTAAAAAAAGAAAAGAAAAAAGAAATCAGCTGCAACCCTGGCATTTGTCAAAGTGGAAAGAATGTCTGGCTGTTGGACTTTAGCCTTTGGCCTCAATAGATCAACTGATATCAGAAAGCAACAGGAGTGTGTTCTGTATGTCGTAAAACCGTGTTTGGGAACGAGGGAAGCCGAGGGTTCACACCTGTCTCAGGGAATGGCTCTACCAACCAGCCAGCAGCCTGCTCTGGCAGGAAGTCCCCGAGCCGGGGTCCCTGTCCTGGTCTGCTCATGCCTCACTGGGTGAGTGTGGGCAGCATTTCAGCCGCGCTAAGCTGTCACTTCTTCATCTGTCAAATAAGGATAATAACATAGCAGTTTACCCACCTTAGATAATCCCAAATGCGAGATCCTTCTATCAGGCTCACAAGAAATCAGAGATGTTATCCCATATTGGCCTTTCCTCGTAACTCAAGAGATACACGAGGCTTTGAGATGGGAGACCTGAGGTCTGGGGCGTCCAGAGTAGCTCCAGATGCTTCCTCATCACGTACGGGTGCATCCTGGCCCGGAACGAACATAAGAGGTCCCTGAGGGCTGCGCGTGGGACACCGCTTCCAACAAGGGGGCAGGAAACAGCTTCATTTTATACTCTGGTAATTACACAGCTGATGCTCATGTTTTCCCAGAGTGGGGGGCGGAGGGCGGGTAGGCCCCACGGAATCCTGCATTTCAGGAGTGCCTTCCACAAAGAACTTAAACAGACCTGTTAGATCCTGGCAAGTGCCTCGCAGAGATAAGGCCTTTGTGTTTTCTTTCTCATGGTAAATGCCAGCAAGAGGGATTTAGGAGGGAGCCGACCTGGGTCATTTCTTTTTGTCTTTTTGTCCCCCCTCCTCCAGGGTCTTGAAGGCAGGAAACTTGACTTAAGGCCACTACCTACCTCTGATCTCCTCTTTCTAGCCTGTAACAGCTGATTTTATTTGGGCAGCAATACCTGTAGGGGCTGCCCAAATAAAATAGCTCCTTGTGAGGAAGGAGGACTGGTCCCCAGGCCTCAGAGGAAAACTACAACTGGTTCGAGTCTTGCCATTTGCCCTGGTAGCCACGGCTTCTGAAGTGAGCGCGCAACCAGTTTGGCCAAGGAGATGGGAGAAGCCTGGGAGCGGGCCCTCGGGGAGGATTTTGCCGTCCAGTTCACGGTAAAAGCCCAGGGGCGCCTGGGTGACTCAGTCGGTTGAGTGTCCGACTCTTGATTTCAGCTCAGGTCATGATCTCACCGTTTGTGAGTTCGAGCCCCGCATTGGGCTCTGTGCTGACAGTGCAGAGCCTGCGTGGGAATCTCTTTCTCTGCCCCTACCCTGCTTGTGCGGTCTCTCTCTCTCTGAAAATAAATCAACTTAAAAAAAAAAAAAAAAGCCAAGAAAGGGCTGTGTGTCGACCCGCTTAAGGCTGAAAAGCCACTGTGCTCAGGATGGGGATTAGAAAGACAGGGGGTGCCTGGGTGGCTCAATCAGTTAAGTGTCTGACTCTTGGTTTCGGCTCAAGTCATAGATCATGAGCTCAAGCCCCACGTTGGGCTCCGTGCTTATAGCTCAGAGCCTGGAGCCTGCTTCGGATTCTGGGTCTCCCTCTCTCCCTGCCCCTCCCCGCTTGCGCTCTGTCTATATCTCTCAAACATAAATGAAAATGTTAAAAAAATTTAAAAAAAAATACATCCTATATTTCTTACAACTACTACCCAACCGTTTTTTCTTCTTTCTTTCTTTCCTAGTTATAAAACTTGGTTTTATTTGTGCAGCAATCAGCACAAGGGAGGAGGACCGTCTCCAAGCCTTAGAGAAAAACCACCATAGGTTTCGATGTATCTCAGCCTCCTGGTTCCCTCTTCGTTTCCTTCTCCCCAGCCAGCTGCCATTCCGTTTTCTTTTTCCTTTTTTTTGTTTTGAGAGAGAGTGCACAAGCAAGTGAGGGAGGGGCAGAGAGAGAGAGAGAATCCCAAGCAGGCCCCCTGTACTGTCAGCACAGAGCCCGATGCGGGGCTCGATTCCAGGAACCACGAATCATGACTTGAGCTGAAACCAAGAGTCGGACGTTTAACCGACTGAGCCACCCAGGAGCCCCAGCTGCTGTTCCTAAACTCTTCTCTGGTCCACGCCCTTCACATCCAAGTAGTCACAAGCCCTGGGGACTCCATTCCTAATTAGCTTCTCCTTTCTACTTGTCACCGTCTCTGCCCTGGTTCAAGACGCCTTCATTTTTTGGCTTAGATCGCAGCTCCTCTCCTCCGTCTGCCTCCTGTCTTATCCCTACACCTCCGTCTCTCCACACCTATCAGGGCAAGCTTCCGAAATGGCCAACCTGAACGTGTCCCTCCCTCTCCAGCTTGAAATCGTCACGAGTTCCTCTGCCCCCAGAGGTGGCTGGTAGCTCCCACGTTGTACGATGGTATTTTCGTCTCTGTTCCACTCTATATGTTCTAGGGAACCTCTTTCTGAGGTGCTCTCTCTGCTCTGGTCCTTCTGGGAGCACTTCCTCTGACTTGGCTGCCTCCCTGGCTAAATTAAGCACTCTCTCCCCTGGACACCTTTGAAATACATTATTTTTGTCCTTCTCAGGTACAACTTTGTGAAAGTTTGCTTGCATGGCTGAGTCGCCTGTGGATGGTGAATGGGTTGGTAACTTATTCACACTTTCCAGTTTATAACCACAGTGTAGCACACTGTATTCAGTCAATAAATCAGTGTGCATTGAGTGGGTGAAGTTTTTTTTTTTTTTTTTTAATTTTTGTTTATTTTTGAGAGAGAGGGAGAGAGACAGAGCATGAGCAGGGGAGGGGCAGAGAGAGATCATGAACTGTGAGATCATGACCTGAGTTGAAGTTGGACGCTCAACCGACTGAGCCACCCAGGCGCCCCTCGAATGGAGGAGTTTTAAATTTGATTGCATAGGCGTTCAGCTAGCTCTCCAGTGCTTGGAGCTGGTTCTAAAATGTAAAGCTTAGGGGCACCTGGGAGACTCAATCGGCTGAGCATCCAACTTCAGCTCAGGTCATGACCTTATTTATGGTTTGTGAATTTGAGCCCTGTGTCAGGCTCTCTGCTGACAACTCAGAGCCCGGAACCTGCTTTCGGGCGTCTATGTCTCCTTCTCTCTCTGCTCCTCCCTCACTCTTCTGTGTGTGTGTGTGTGTGTGTGTGTGTGTGTGTGTGTGTGTGTGTGTCAAAAAATGGATACACATTAAATTTAATTCAGGGGTGCCTGGGTGACTCATTCAGTTAAGTGTCCGACTTCAGCTCATGATCTCAAGGTTCATGAGTTTGAGCCCTGCGTCGGGCTCTGTGCTGACAGCTCGGAGCCTGGAGCCTGCTTCGAATTCTGTGTCTCCCTCTCTCTCTGCCCCTCCCCCGCTTGTGTTCTGTCTCTCTCTCAAAAAGAAATAAATATTTAAAATTTTTTAAAAAATTAATTCAACTCAACACAAATATTTACTCATGCGTACTGGATGTCAGGTGCCTGGCTTCACTGACCAATGAACAAATCAGGCAAAGACTCCTGTCCTCCTGGAGCTTATAATTTAGCAAGGAGAGACAGGTCATAAATAATAAGCATAATGGGGGCACCTGGGTGGCTCAGTCGGTTGAGGGTCCGACTCTTGATTTCAGGTCATGATCTTGCGGTTTGTGGGTTGAGCTCCATGTCGGGCTCTGCTCTGACAGCATGGAGCCTGCTTGGGATTCTCTCCCCCCCCCCCCCCCCGCCCCTTCCCTATGCATTTACTCTCTCTCTCTCTCTCAGAATAAATAAATAAACTTAAAAAAATAATATGTGTAATGACTAAGAAAGCTGTATAGTAGGGTAGCAGATGGAAAGTGTTCTGGGAAAAGGAAGCGAGCAAATCAAGGTAAGGGAGGTTGGGAGAGTTTGGTGGGGGGAGGTTAGTCTTTTTTCTTTAACTTTGCTCAGTGGGCCTTCTCAGTCTGGAATAGTCATGTATTTCTTGAACTTAAGAAAATATTGTTGTTACTTCTCTGGTTATTTTCTCTCTCTACTTTCTCTAGTCTTTCATAATTGGACAGACACTGGACCTCTTGGGCCCTTCTCCATGATCTTATATTTTCTGCCTCTTTTTTTTTTCCCCCTTGCTCTACATTCTTTAAGATTCCATGATTCTATATTCACTGACTGGTCTTTACCTGTGTCCAAATTATTACTCAGCCCATTAATTGAATTTTTCCTATTGCAGTCCCATTTTTAATTTCCAAGAATATTTTCAGGTCCTTTGTATTTTTATGATAGCCCCTTCCTCCCTTTTCTCAGCTGCCCCGTCTCTAAGGACATTAACTGCACTTTTTATAAAGTTCTCTGTTCCTTCCTAAACTGTCTCTGTTTCCTCCAAGATCATCTTTTCTCTTGGTTCAACTTGAGCCGTCTCTTTCATGCTATTGGTTTTCCTAACATACCTACAACTTTGCTTTCCTGCTTAGAGATGTGAACGAGAGCTATGTTCCTTACGTGGGACGCTTTCATGAGCGTCTTTGCATGTTGGTGGGTCCCCGTCCGGCCTCTCCCTTGGCTGACAGAGCCATCTGAGGGTGATCCAGAACAGAGAAACCTTTTCAGGTATCAGGACAGGAAGCAAGTAGTCAAGTTACGGACCCTCACAGTGGTCCCAGTGGGTTTGGCTTCATTGTCAACCTGCCTCAGACATTCTCCAACCAACAACCTGCCTCAGACATTCTCCGTGCAGATCACCCACCTACCTGGGAGAGCAGGCTTCCTGGTTAATGCTGCACAGGGACACCCTTGCTCCTGGCCCTTCCGTGTTCGTGTCCGACTCTCTGCATGGTTCTCGGTGCTGTCCCTGAACGCCCATCCGATGTCTCCTCTGGTTCGCATTTATTTGCTGTGAACTCGGGCCTGCACCTTGTCTCCCTCAGGAGGAATCTGGTGTGTGAGGCTTACATTTCCTCCGTCTCCTTCCCAGGTGTCCATTTTTCGGGTATCTGCTGCTACATGACAAAACACCTCAAACTCCAGTGGCTTAAAACACCAAAAATGTGTTATTATTATTTTTTTAATGTTTATTTATTTCTTTTGAGAGAGAGAGAGAGAGAGAGAGAGAGAGAGAGAGAGAGAGAGAGAGAATGCGTGCATGTGTGTGTGCAGGTGAGGGGCAGAGAGAGACAGAGAATCCCAAGCAGGCTCCACACTATCAGCGCAGAGCTCGTTGTGGGGCTCAGTCTCACGAGCCATGAGATCATGACCTGAGCTGACATCAAGGGCTGGACACTTAACTGACTGAGATGCCCAGGCGCCCCCAAAATGTGTTGGTTATTTTATGATTCTGTGGGTTGACCATGCAGTTTTTTTTTTTTTTGTTTTTTTTTGTTTTTTTGCTTTGTGGGGTGTTGATGTTGGGATGTCAGGGAAGTCCAAACCAACCTTCTTCCCTGTTGGTGTTGGCTAGAGCCTGAGATCTCAGCTCAGGCTGTCTGCCAGGGCCCTTGGTTCTTTTCCGTGTCAGCCTGTCCATGTGGCTGCTTGGGCCTCCTCACTGCATGGTGGCTGGCTTCCAAGAAAGCATCTCAAGAGCACAAGCTCTAACGTGCAAGCTCTTATAAGGTTCTGTTTCAATGATGCTACCTAAGGCCCCATTGGCCAAAGCAAGACAGCCACATGCCAGGTCCAGAGTCAGTGTGGCAGGGGTCTACAAAAGGGCCTGAATAAGGGGAAGTGTGGTTCAAGGGCCCCCCAATGTAAAAGCCACCACAATCTTCTTCTTCTTTTTTTTTTTTTTTTTTTAACATTTTTTAACATTTATTTTTGAGAGACGGAGAGAGAGCATGAGTGGGGAAGGAGGAGAGTCAGAGTGAGACACAGAATCCAAAGCAGGCTCCAGGCTCTGAGCCGTGAGCACAGAGCCCAACGTGGGGCTCGAACCCATGAACGGTGAGATCATGACCTGAGCTGAAGCTGAGGCTTAACCGACTAAGCCACCCAGGCGCCCCAGCCACCACAATCTTCTATGTTTCTTTCAAATTTCTGGTCAACTAGGAGTACCCTTTCCTGTTTCAGGCACTGTATTATTTATTCTTAAAAAAATTTTTTTTAATGTCTATTAATTTCTGAGAGAGAGAGAGAGAGAGAGAGACAGAGAGAGAGAGAGAGAAGGGAGAGAGTCTGTGAGTGGGGGAGGGGCAGAAAGAGAGAGGGAGACACAAAATCCGAAGTGGGCTCCAGGCTCTGAGCTGTAAGCACAGAGCCTGATGTGGGGCTCGAAGGCACGAACCATGAGATTATGACCTGAGCTGAAGTCGGAAGCTCAGTCGACTGAGCAACCCAGGTGCCTCTATTTCTCCTTTTTTAGAAATATAAGTGTGCACTGTTTGGGGTGCCTGGGGGCGCTCAGTCGGTTGAGTATCTGGCTGTTGATTTCGGCTCAGGTCATGATCCCAGGGTTGTGGGATCGGGCCCAGCATTGGGCTCCATGATGAGTGTGGAGCCTGCTTCAGATTCTCTCTCTCTCAGTCACTCTCTCTCTCTCTCTCTCTGCCCCTCCCCCACCTGTACATACATGTGGTCCCTTATATATATATGACAATTAATTATATTAACTATTCTTATGTTGCCTGTTATGTTGCCTCTTGAATTAGAGGTTCAAGAGGCACCTAGGGGCACCTGGGTGGCTCAGTCTGTTAAGCGTCTGACCTCGGCTCAGGTCATGATCTCACGGTTAATGGGTTCAAGCCCTGCGTCAGGCTCTGTGCTGACAGCTGGGAGCCTGGCGCCTGCTTCGGATTCTGTGTCTCCCTCTCTCTCTGCCCCTCCCTGGCTCATGTTCTCTATCTCTCTATCTCAAAAATAAATAATAAACATTAAAAAATTTTTTTAAAAAGTAAGAAATCCTCTAAAGAACAAAAGGCATCTAGAGGGAAAGTCAAAAAGTCACTGTTATGGAAACCCCCCAATCTCCCCTCCGGTCAGTTCAATCTCCCCTCCGGTCAGTTCTCTCTAACCCAAACCCTAACACAAGAGTGAGGTCTGTTTGGTGTCCCTCAGGAACAGCGTGAATACTGCAGCAACCTTGGGTTAGGATTGAGTCTTCGCCCAAGTGCTCAGCCCTTTCATGCAAGAATGTCAAGCCGACCTCCGTTTGTTTGCCCGTCAACCACAATGTTCTGTCCTTACCAACAGAGAATATGTCTTCTTTCCTGCCAGCCCCTGCAATTTCAAACTCCCTACTGCCTCATTGGACTGAAACATTATTATACGAAATACCATTCCTAGAGCATTGCCTGAAGGATATGCCTGAATACCCTCTGATCAGAGCTGGCGGACAGAGTCAGGCTGGCAGGTGACAAGATCCCTCCAGGGGTGCCCCGTTGAGAAGGGCTGTGAGTCTCATTCCCTCCGGAAGAGAGTTTAGTGACCACTGCTGACCTCTGCCCCGGCCTTGGACTGGAAGCAATGGTGTGCCTGTCGGGAAGGTACTTTCCCTCCTGCCCCCCAATATTGTAGAATTGATCGCTGAACCAAGCCAAAGCTTCGGAGAGTTGCTGATCTGTGTGAAATTCTTGTGGCTCCTGGAGTGTATTGAGTGGGTCTGGCGCCACGCCAATCACCCGCACCCAGGGTGAGCTGAGACGGAACTGTTCAGGATTTGATTCTATATTTATTGTAGGAGTGTCACCAAGGGCACACCGTGTGACACGGTGTTCCCTTTAGGAGGGGCCAGGGGAGCCATTCTGAACAACGATCTGTTGTTATCCTATGGATCCTGTGACTGTTGTAATAGTATGTTTCCTTCCTTGCTTTGGTTGCTAGGAAACCCAGGGCAACAGTACAGACCTCATCTGGCGACTGCTAGACTTCTGCACCAGCGTTTTACACCTTACTTTCTCTCTCCTTTCCTCTCATTTTCTTGCCATTTTCCTACAGATTTCCATCCTACCCTGTCCCTTTACTCTCTCTTCATCTTTTCTTTTTTTTCTCTTTTTTTTTTAAAATTTTTTTAATGTTTATTTATTTTTGAAGGAGAGAGAGACAGAGTGTGAGTGGGGGAGGGGCAGAGAGAGAGGGAGACACAGAATCGGAAGCAGGCTCCGGGCTCCGAGCTGTCAGCACAGAGCCCGATGTGGGGCTCGAACCCACGAACTGTGAGACCATGACCTGAGCCGAAGTCGACGCTCAACCAACTGAGCCACCCAGGCGCCCCCATCTTTTCTTTTTTAAGCCCCACCTTCCGTTCTTCCTCTCCCCTTTTTTTCTCTTCGGTTAACATTTATCGGGCATCTGCTCCATGGCTGGCACCCTGTTAGGGGCTGGACAGACAGCAATCGTCACCCCAAAATATCTGTGTTACTAACTGCAGCCCTTATCAGGGCGCTCATGGTTACCGAAGAGAAACCTGGTGCTTAATGTAACTTAGCGTTTCTCTGAGTGGACTCATCACTCTCTGGTCCCTGCTCCGGACAGGATTCTAATGATCTACCCACTAAGGCACACCAGCCTTACCCTGGTCACTGTCCGGTCACTGTCCCTATTCACCCCACAGAGAGGTCTGTTTGATTACCCCTGGCACATTCGTCTCGAGTGTGCAACTGTGCATAAAAACACGAACACAACTTTTATCGGAAGGATTTAGAAGGGGGGAAACTGCAGCATGTGACGAGGGAAAGCTCTGGGGCTGGGGTTCGAGTGGCCTGCGGGCTGACGTCGACATTGCCCTTGTAGGAGAGTGTTACTCTGTGTCCCCCCAGCCCCTGCCCGCACGTTCTCAGTTCCTACCTGCCCAAGTTCCCCCTGTTCTGCTTTCATTTCCCCCCCACGGCAGACACCGGATTGGGGAGGGGGGCTTCGATTTAATTCCTCATTAGTCAATTATTTTGAATCAATGTGACAAAAACCTGTGTCTTTCTCATCCGAGAACGGTCAGCGGGCTCACCTCCAGGTGTCTATTTTTCCTTGCAGGAAGCTTGGGGTCAAATTTCACAGCTACAGTATTATCTTCACGGCTTGCAAGATGGATGTTCCTAAAACACACACACACACACACACACACACACGCACACACACACGCACACCCCACCACCACCAAATAAAAAACCAAACAACTTTACTGTCTGAATACCTTTTAAGTCATGTCCAACCCTCTTTCAAGATAGGAATTTAATACTTACTGATGGGCATGGAGTAGAACTCCAGACCTCAGCTTCCTGCGCGAGTCAAGTGGCTAAATCATCCGCCATTTCTAAGGCGCCCAACGTGGTGCGTGGTCAGCCGTGGCATCCCGGGTATAGTGACTGAGAGAAAATCTGGATTCAGGTTCACCTTCTCTTTTGACTTTGGGCACGTCATCTCGCCTCTTTGAGCCTCAGTTTCCCCATCCATAAAGGGCTCTATGTTCTTCAGACAGCTGCTGTGAAGATAAGAGAGTTAATGTCCATGCAAATGCATGTGAGCCCTTGAAAAACATGGGTTTGGACTGCATGGGTCCAGTTACACGTGTATTTGTTTTTTGATAAATACAGTCCAGTCCTGTGACTGTATTTTCTCTTCCTTATGATTTTCTTAATGTTTTCTTTTCTCTTCGTTTCTTACAAGCTTTATGGTATAATATATGCAACATACAAAATACATATTAATCAACCATTTATGTATTAGTCTGCCAGTCAACTGTAGGCTATCTGTATTATGTTTCTAGGGAGTGAAAAGTTACAGGCAGAGTTTTTTTTTTTTTTAATGTATTTTTGAGAGAGACAGAGACAGGATGATTGGGGAAGGGGCAGAGAGAGAGGGAAAGAGAGAATCCCAAGCAGGCTCCACACTGCCAGTGCAGGGCTCAAACACACCGAACAGTGAGATCATGACCTGAACCAAAACCAAGAGTCAGACGCTTAACCAACTGAGCCACCCAGGCACCCCGACATGCAGAATTTTGACTGCATGGGGGGTCGGCGCCCCTAACCCCTGCCTTGTTCAAGGGTCAACGGCACTTTGGAGTCTACAGAATACTGTAGTGTTGTGGAATGAGATTATATTCCTGGGGGAACCTGTTCACCACTCGTAATTTTGGCATTAAGATAAATTGTTGTCAACAAAATCCTAATCCCCAATACGGTTATCACAGTGTCCAAAGCTTTGTTGTGGCCCTTGAGTCTCTTACAGATTCTGAGGGAAGAGCTCTCAGGGTTGGGATGTTGGATGCTTCCGCCATGGTGTTCAGATGCCTTTGGGCTGCCCTGCTGGTGGCAGGTGCTCACCAACCCCTCTCTGATGGCGTCTGTTAGTGTTCTCTTAGACCCTCCCCTCCTCCTGGGAAAATGAATTCATTTCCTTGATATTCAGCCATACCTCTAGGCTCAGGTTCCCCAAATCTGAATCTGCGCTTTTGCCTCTCTGGCTGCCATAGACCAGTATCCCCAGTTGCCTATGGGACAGCTCCTCCTGGGAACCCCACGGGCCACGGGCACTGGCAACCCAGCGTGTCCCAAACCAAACCCGTGCTCAGCCCCTGCATCCCAACTTTCTCCCCTTAGAATTTCTATCCAGATCTTTCTCATCTGCCTTTTCTTCCCTTGGATTGCATTGGTTCTGGTCCTTGTCATCTCTTGCTGGGACAATTGTCATTATTCCTAATTAGCCTTCCTACCTCCTGTCTCTCCTCCTAAACCATGGTCCACACCAGCTGCCAGGCAGGGCTTTAAAGATGCTACTCTTGGGGCGCCCGGGTGGCTCAGTCGATTAAAAGTCCGATTTCAGCTCTGGTCATGATCTCATGGTTTGTGGGTTCAATCCCAGTGTTAGGCTCTGCACTGACAATTTAGAGCCTGGAGCCTGCTTCCGATTCTGTGTCTCCCTCTCTCCGTGCCCCTCTCCAGCTTGCGTTGTCTCTCTCTCCCTCAAACATAAATAACAACATTATTTTAAAAAAAGATGCTACTCTTTCTCACTCACAAATCTTTAAAAAAAAAAATTTTTTTTAACATTTATTTAGTTTTGAGAAAAAGAGAGCAAGTGCAAGCGGGGGAGGGGCAGAGGGAGAGGGAGACACAGAATCAGAAGCAGGCTCCGGGCTCTGAGCTGTCAGCACAGAGCCTGATTCAGGGCCCGAAACCCCATGAGATCGTGACCTGAGCTGAAGTTGGACCTGAGCCAAAGTCGGAGGCTTAACCCACTGAGCCACCCAGGCTCCCCTCCCCCTCCAATCTTAAATGCTCCCTGCACTTGAGGTCTTCTGAGATCGAGGCCCTGGTCACCTGTCTTCACTTCCTGCCAGCCCCCTCGTGCGTGACATCCCAGTATCTTCAACCAGAGCAAATGGCTTGAAGTTCACCAAGATGCTCCCACCGTCCTCATTGCCTGGGAAGCCCCACCTATTCCTGTCTGCTTGGCCAGCTTCTACTGGTTCGTCAAGTCTGCTCTAAAGCCTCACCTCCTCTCTGAAGCTTTTCTTGGTTCCTCCAGATGGAACTGTTGGTCCCTACGGCAATCTGTACATAGATCTTTTACGCCTTGTACGGTAACTGTTTACATATCTCGTTCTCACGCCAGACGGTGGTCTTCTCGGGCAAGATGTACTTGTCATTCATCTTTGTGTGACCACGTCTTAGAACGACGCTGGAAACACGGTAGAGTCCCTCAGGACATTTGAACAAGCTTATTAGCGATGTAACTGCCACACCCATTCTTAACAGCAGCCAGCAGAGAGCGCAACTGAATCCGGGTCAGCATGACAGGAGGGGTAAGTCCGATACAGATGCCACTGGCGCTGTGGCTGCTGAGTCCTTGAAAGGTGGCTGGTCTGAAACGGGATATACTGTAAGCGAAACACATAAAATTTCAAGGTATACAAAAAGGTCAAATATTTCGGTATCTTTGACATCTGTGACCTATTGAAACAATCACCTTCGGACATGGTAGCTTAAATCAAATATATCATTCCACAATGAAGTTCACGTATGTCTTTTTACTTTTTAAAAAATGTTTCTTTATTTCGAGAGAGCGAGAGAGAGGCAGACACGGAGAGCGTGCCCATGGAGGAAGGAGCAGAGACAGAAAGAAGGAATCTCAAGCAGGCTCTGTGCCATCAGCGCAGAGCCTGATATGGGGCTCAAACCTGTGAACGATGAGATCACGACCTGAGTCAAATCAAGAGTTGGATGCTCAACCAACTGAGCCACCCAGGCACCCCTCTATTTGCTTTTGTAATGTGACTACTGGAAGGTTTAAGGTTACAGGGGCCTCTGGCTGGGTCGGTTGGGAGAGGATGCCACTCTTAATCCTGGGGCCATAAACACAAGCCCCATGCTTGGTAGAGTTTACCTAAAAAAAAAAAAAAAAAAAAACCTCCAAAATTAGGTTATACATGTGGCTCACATTCTATTTCCATCAGACAATGATGATCTGAACATTCATCCCCTGAGCAAAGATTTCTTGAGTACCCACCCTGTACCTCCTCTGTTAATCTGAATGATGGGAATAGAACTGTAAGCAAGACAGATAATTTCCTGATTTATCTTTAAGGAGTGTACATCATACTGGAGAGAGGGACACAGAACAGAAGGCAGACATGTAAGCGAGATAATTTTGGATAGTAAGAGTGACGTGAAGGAAGCGAAGCTTGACGGAGAGGGTAAGGGAAGCAGGAGGGTGGTCAGATGAGGCCTTCTAGAGCCGGTGGGATCAGAGGCAGAGAGAGGGGGGGGGGGCATGGGAGACAGAACAGACCTGAACAGACAGTAGGGAGTAGGGGTGCAGATGGGGAGGGGCAGACATACCTGACAGGTGTTTGCTGCAACCAGAGGGATTTGGGATTGGCCAGAACTCAGGTGGACTCCCAGGGGTCCGGCTTGGACGACCAGGTTTGTGGTGATGCCACCAGATGAGAGAGAGCTGTGAGGTGCCTGTGGGACGCCTCTGTGGCAGCACTGAGGGGAGGAGTCAGTCCTAGGGATGGTAATTCGGGATCTCTGAGCATAGACAAAGGTATTAAAACCAAGCACGGGGGGGTGCCTGTGTGGCTTAGTCCGTTAAGCCACTGACTTTGGCTCAGGTCATGATCTTGCAGTTTGTGAGTTCGAGCCCCGCGTCAGGTTCTCTACTGTCAGCGAGGAGCCTGCTTGGGATTCTGTGTCTCCGTCTCTCTGCCCCTCCCCCACTCTCTCTCAAAAATGAGTAAACATTAAAAAAACACAACTGTAGATGAGAAAGGAGAGAGAGTAGGTGGCAAAGGGGAGGAACCTCTGGCCCAGGGAGCATCCTTGTACATTGGGACATAGTTGTGTATGTGCCTTGGTTGAGGGGAAGGACCCAGGGCAGCCGGAGGGGTTCAGGGTGTGACAGAGAAGGCAAAACTGACCCAGTCAGGTTTGGGCAGTGATCGAGGGGCTGGACTGGCCTCAGGGGTTGGGTGGGAGGACAGAAGGGGGCTTTAGAGGAGCTATCTGTTGTCCGGAGGAAGTCAGAGGTATTTTGTTTTTTAATGTTTATTTATTTTTGAGAGAGAGAGAGAGAGAGAGAGAGCGAGAGAGCGAGAGAGAGCGCATGAGCATGGGAGGGGCAGAGAGAGAGAGGGAGACACAGAATCTGAAACAGGCTCCAAGCTCCTAACTGTCAGCACAGAGCCTGACGTGAGGCTCAAACCCACGAATGGTGAGATCATGACCTGAGCTGAAGTCAGACACTCAACCCACTGAGCCACCCGGGCGTCCCTAGAGGAAGACAGAGTTTAAGGGGAGTGACATCCAGGTCACAGGTGAGGACATCTCTTGGAAGAACTTTGGGTGTGTCACAATTTGGGCCAAGGTTTTCTCATTCTGTCCTCAGAGTTGGAGAAGCCTCTAGGAAGCGCCAGGATAGGGGATTAGGAGAGCCAGCTTGGGAAAAGTTGAGTGGCCCAGAGCAGGTAGGTCACAGCCTCTCTGTGGCTCATTTTCCTTGTCTCTAAACTGAGCTGAGTGATGTCATCAGGTCGCTGGCAGTGGTACCCTTCCTACACTAAGTACATGCCACCTCTCTGGGTTGTTTGAGCTGCACTCTGTTTGAACCTACTTTCCTTCCCTTTCCGGGACAGTAGACTAATCCAGGCTCAGTCCTGGGGTGGGGGGGCTTTCTGAGACCTGGTCACCAACATGGTCAAGCAGCCAGGGCAATACTCGGCTCCCTTCTCTGTAACTAATGGGCATCTGACAGCCGTCTGAGCAGGTCTGAGCAGCGTCCTTGTCTCCCAGTCCTTGTACCCGTGCAGGGCCCAGCGCAGGCTGTCCGGGGTGACCTGGCCTCCAGGAACGCTACCGAGGATAGAAACGAATGGTGCTCTTGTGTCTTAAATCATAGCATTTCTCCCTGTGTCCGTTTCAACCCCCAGAACGGGAACGGCGGGAGCCGGCCGTGGCCGACGCACACCAGCTCAGTTGCTCCCACAACCACACCGCCCCGTGTTACCCCCATTGTCAGGGAAGGGAAAAGACACAGGACTTGAGTAACTTGGCCAAGGTCAACAGCAAGCTGAGGGAGCAGCCAGGGCTTGAAAGGGATATTCGCATTCTGCCCCCTGTCCGCTGCCGGCCCAGAAGATCCAAGCCTTCGGGGTCATCCGTCCCTCCGTCCCCGGCCCTAGGGCTCCCCACGTGGACACCCCCCCGGGTCTGGCTCCACCCCCGTCCGTCCGCTCTGCCGGAGCCTCTCCAGGTCGTCGACGACCAGCCCCCGGCCGTGCCCCCACCCCCCACCCCTCCCGGGCCGCCGCCCTCCCGCAGATCCCCGC